ATGAAATTATGGGATGAAATTCAACCCTGAAGTGATATTTTCAACACTACATTCTGGGAGCTGTCAGAAGAGTGAACAATCATAGGGAGAAAAAACTGTTGGGAAAAATGAGATAGAAGTATGAATGTTCCCACCTCATTGGCTAATGTCCGTCTACTGCTGAGTGACTTCAAGGTCACTTCGGTACATGTAATACACAGACTCCACTTTAAATGCTGGATGACAGATTGGAGAGTGTACCAATCTGCCAATTGTGTGTTTTCCTTTTCCAAGTTTGGTGTCATTGAGAACTGTTTAGCTTCATTTATTAAAAGTTTTCAAACTGATCACATTGCAGTTCACGTCCAAAGGTCCAGCACCTGTCTGAAGTGAGCTTCATGCACATGAATACCTCTTGGATTCATTTATGCTTGCAAAGTTGAAGTTAACACTGTCAGCACTACCATAAAATAAGAAGTAACAGCAGCACTTCTCCACTATGCTTTGTAATTTAAAAATGGATGTATATAACTCCCTGCATCATTAATTGTAGAACAAAAATGTTTGTGGTATTACGTGCAAGTTACGGGTGCTTTGACTGATACCCATAATGGCAGAAAGGATTTTGACTGTGAAATGGGGTGCTTGTGGTGGGAGTTCTGCCAACATACCAAGTCGAGCGGGAGGTCTGAGCACACTGTAAACTGGTGTTCCATATGCTCAAGAGACTTTTGGAATCCACCCAGACTACATATGCTTCTGTTGGCAAGCTCTGGAATAGAAAGAAAGATATTGTCCTCGCCCCACCTAAAATACCTCCCACTCATGTGGAATGCTCACTTGCAAATGGAGAGCGTGCAAATCTAAGAATGATAATGGCATAAACCCAATCTCACTACAGCTGGATAGAAAAAAAATGCATAATCGAATAGCTTTTAAACTATAAAATAGATTGATTTAAAGACAATGGTGAAATTGCCTTTAAACGTCTTTGATGTTCTCCAGTCCATGATCTGTGCAACAGTAGAAAAATTTTGATGCTGTTCTAAGGTGCACAGACTTCACTAGCCAGTCCATGGAACTGTTGTTTACTGGAAGATGCTCTGGTGCCTGAAACTCTTGAAACAATATAATCTTCCACTGCTTATTTGTGACTGTAGAGAAGAAGCTACAGTACAAAATGGTTTTCTTGAGGGTGTCAGAGATTGTGTTGTAGTGGGATAACATAATGTGTAAGCAGCAGAACCTTCAGCTTCTAGATAAGCAACAGAAGAGGAGATGGAATATTCTATGACTTGAAAGCAGGTTTGTGCATCCTAATTAATAGATTGGTGGCAGAGCCAGCTTAGAGCTTCTAGTCCTACCCAGTGGGATCACACTATCCATGCCATTTGGGGAATGACTCCAAGGTAAGTTTGGCAAAGGCTTTGTATTCCCACTAAATGAAATGTGGTTATACCATTTTTAAGGCTGGAGAAAAATGTCCAAAAGGATTGACCACAAGGCAGCTACCTACTTAGTCATGTATCCTTCCAGTATTTACATCTGCTACTGCAATAGATTTGAGGCAGCAATTAAAAAAAAGAAAAACGTATTGAATAATGTGTTTATCTGCTAATACTTCTGTGCTGAATAGTTCTAACGTAAAAAATTCTGCAGATAAAGGAGTGGGACTGTCATAACCTGATGAAAACAAGTAGAATGACAGAAAGTGGACAGGTGATTTATAAATTTGACTCATTTTAGATTTTATGTCATGTCTAATTCCAGGTGCTGAATCCCACTCCTATCCTCATACTGTTAGTTCCACTTTCAGCCACACACAGGGGTGACAGGTTGTGGAAGTCCCCTAGTTAACTGTGGTGATGTGACAGAAAGAATAATAATCTCAGACACTTGTCCACCTGATGCTCTGACCAGAAATAAGATGTGGATGTTGTGGTATTTTAAGGGGAAATAGCTCTGTTCATCTTGATGTGGAGGTTTATAGCTGTTACTGGAAAATTAAAATGAAAAACATACAGAATATGCAAACAGGCCTAGCACAAATCTGTTTCTTGGATTTGCAGTCCTAGTGCCTGCCATCAGATTGATCTACTCTCATAAGCAGAATACATTGCTGTGAGGATTGTCTTTTTTTCAGGCAAAAAGACGCACAGTACTAGGAGACCTGTGGAAAGTTAAGAGCGGGTTCAGAGAATTTGGGGAGTGGGTTACTTGGGACAGGAGACTGAATGTGTTGGTGAGCTGGGAAAGAAATGGTGGAGCAAGTTTGTGAAGATTACTGGGTCTCCACCTGTCTGCCACAATTTCCTGTCCAGGTCATGAAGCAGGGTGGCTGCTCAGTCTTCTCTTCGGATTGACTTATCAAGGACACCATATCTCCTGCCTGCCTGAAATTACTTCTCATATCTCCCAACATCTTTCTTCCTATTCTTAGAATCACCTTCCTCAACTTTTTCAGCTACACCAGTGCCAGGCCTGCATAGGTGCATACCCTGGCCTTGCTCTGAAATTTTCCACTTTCTCTTTTACTCCATGAAATAGACTCTGTGTAGAACAGCCTTGGGGACAATCGTGGGAAGTGTTTGTTCTGTTTAGCTTTAATGAATAATGCTATCTTGACACAAGTGGCACAGATCAGCTACTCAAACATCCTAGATCAAACACTGTGCAGAGCGAGGACTGAGTTGGAATGCATTTACTCCATATTGATTCCTAGGCAGTCCTGACTGTATGTTTTTTCCCTTTCAAATATTTCTGAAATATCAGGTTGTAGCAAGTGACAGGCAGTTCTTCTGGGGGCCTGGCTTATCACATGCCTCTCTGATGTTCGTGGTGCAGGTGGCGGGGAAGGAAATAAAGCTCACTTAATAAATGTTCTTAACACTGGTATATACCAAGGACTTGATTGCTTCCCCTCCTCCTCTGCTGCCCTACTGCCTTGCTGATGATTTGCAGGGAGGTGGTTGGAAGCTTTCCCCATCACAACTGATTTGCAACACACACTTTTCTGCTCTCACAAATGTTTTCTGAAGCTTTTCAATGCTGACCTCAGGACACTTAATACAGCTACATTTCCACTTTGGTAGTTAATAGCAGAAGTTTTACAACATAGCCTTCTGTTTCAACAACAGTGCTTCTGTTTCACAAGTTTCAGTCTTTTGATGGTAATTTTGACTGGAACTTATATGAGACAAAATGGCTTCAAGACATCTTACTTAAAAACTCATGCCCACTCCACATTAGTTTTGTGGGCATCACAGTAATTAAGTTATTTACCATTATAGCCTGCAATCAAATGTGGTTATCACCACAGCATAGCTGGCAATATAAGGCACAAAAGGCTTATGGAAAGGTGTGTAGATCTGACAGATTTCCTTTAGCTTTGGTTGTTTTGGAGGGCAGAGTATAGTTAGTTCCTCTGATCACCCAGTAAACACACTGTTTAGCTTTGCTGATACTAATAGTCATGCTAGAAGACTGCCTCAGGATGATAATATTAAAAATGCATGTATGTGCTTATGAACTGGGCCATAGGCCAGGAGCACTCAGAGAGAGTGGTGCACTGTGTAAGCCATCTTCCCTAACACTTAAATTGTCTTTTAACAACTGGAATGAATCGACCATGGTCACATTTATTTGAAGCTACTCATAAAATTAGTTAACTGTTTTCTTTGAAAAAATAGGCTGTTAGTTTTCTGTGAAATATATGTATTTTCCTATTCATCTCCCCCCTGCATTGTATTGGAATTAAAAAAAAAAAATGCTGCCATTAAAATGTCTATGAGAAGGCAGAGAGTTTACTGCAATCAGTGGTAAATATGGTTCAGAACTATCTCTAGTTTGGAAATTTTTTTCTTGTATTCATTCCTCTGTAACATTTGGGTCTCAAAGAAATCTTGAGCTCTTGTGACTGGCCTCTTACGAATAAGATGGGAGTGCGTATGTATGGCTATGCGTGTGTGTACACACACGTATTCATTCTTGTGTATGCACACAATAGATATGAAGTCCTACTCACCAGTGCCTCTTCCTTCTGCACTTTGCCCTTGTTTATCCTTTTCTTCGGAAAAACAAAAATGAAAGCATTTGGAGCTTCATAACTCTTCCACTCAAAAGCAGAAGGCTTTGGCCTGCTGTTCCTCCTACCCATTGCCTGAGACTTCCCATTCTGGGAGTTAGACACGCAAACATATGTCACGCAAAAGTGGCATAAATACCATATGCAAACAGATTCTTCTGTGTGGGTGGTAAGTACAAAATCCAGCTTTTGGCACCAAAAAAAATCCTGACCCTGGTTCTCTGGAAAAATTTAGGAAAGAAAAATTGCACCAGGTGGGGGGTAACATCAGATAAAACGCAGCTCTGCCAGGTTTGCGTTCTGAGTAGGATTGAGGGATTCCTGTGGAGTTTGGGTTTTTTTCAAACCACCTGAACCCTTGCTGAAGTTCAGAGTCTGCAAAACTAGTTCTAATACACTGTATTTTTCTTCCTCTTTCCCTGAACTTATAAACCCTTGTGGTTTCCAAGGGCAATTCAATGTAAAAAGGAAAAAATTCTAGCTACTGGGAGAGCTTTGTTGAATTGGAATGGAAGGGCAAACCAAAAAAAAAAAAAAAATCTGGCACAAGTTTATGGCCTATGTATACACAGGATTTATACTGACAAGCAGACTTATCCCTACTGGCATGAATCCCAGAAACCACAGTGGCTGGCAACTCTGCCCAGAAATGGATTGCATCAATAGTGTGAAATGCCTGTTCCCCCATCTCCTGGGGAGGGCTCAAAACATGATAACTGCTGAGTAACGTGATTTGGCTGAAGAAATTAAAAATGATGTCCTCTCTAGTGGAATCTCCCAAGGGAAAGGCATGGGGGATGTTTGCAGTAGCAGATTCAAACTGAGTGTCAAATCTTTTCTTAATTTGAAAGGTCTCTTCACTCTTCTTTGCCATATTTCTGCACTCTTTCTGCATCCTACTTGCACATTGCTAATCTGTTTTGCATTTTTTTTCCAGGTCTCTTCTAGTCAACCAAAGCTATAACCCCAGCTAACCATGACACCAGCCCTTCCTCAAGTCATCAGCATCCATTTTAAAAAATGGATCAGCTTTGTAGGGAATGAAAAAATTTATCTTGAAAGATTTCAGGATAATTTTTCTCCTTTTTTTTTAATAGCTTCAAATCCCTTGATTGATTTCCAAAGGTGATGAGTTTGTTGTGTGGACTGTGTTTTTTTGCTGTCCCTTGCTGTATATTTTTGTTTGTTTGTTTTTTAAAGTAATAAACACTGCAATCGTTGCTGACTTTTTTTTTTTTTCATTATCCTCTCTCCAGTGAGATTAGGAAAATCACTTTAGAAGTGTAAAATATCACTTCAGTAAGAATATTGAATTTATATGTAAAATTATGCCTACAATGAATGACGGTGAATGAGCACTTACACTAAAGCAAGATTTCAGGCAACTCCCCAAGGTATGCAGTCTCATATCCCAAGGGTTGGGTTTACTCAGTTGCTTTCACTTCAGCTGAAATACCTGCAACTTGCACTACTCATCTCTTAAGTCCAACTTTGCATTCACTGGGTGAGTGGGTTCAAGAATAAGAGGAATGCTCTCACACTATGCCAGAGGTGAGGCTGTAGAGGCTGTACCATCAGTGGACCTCTAAACTCAGCCAAATCTGTTTGAAAACTACATTCCACTCGAAGGGAGACAGCACTAGCGTTCCTCTCTCCTAGCACCTGGGTGTGGTTTTTTGTTTTCAATCTCTAATTTTTTCACTGTCTTTCTGTAAATGCACTGCAACTAGTCTACCTACTTATGAGAAGCAAATGTTGCAGTGCCGCTGATCTTCCTCTACGTGAGCTGAGGATCAAGTTGCTTGGTGTGTGTATAGGGACCGTGTCAGAAAACTTTGACTTGCTTTAAGATTTTAGCGAAAGATAAAGTTCAATTACAATCTCTTGCAATTAACATTTGCTTTGTCCTTCCCTTGCACTCTCCCCACACCACAGCCACAGGTATAACATTTCAAGTATTTTTCATTAAATAACAGGTTGTTCTTACTTCTGTCTCAACTGAAGTAAAATAGTGGGGGTCTCTTGTCTTCACTGGATTTTCTGTGTTCAGTGATATTTCCAAAGTTCAGCAGATAACAAGAAGGTATAATTATTTCTTCCAGAATCTGGACACCTTAGATATCTCCTACTGCCCTCTGTCAAGCATGGCACTATTCATTCCAGTGTTATTGATACCTTCTGTTTCAGACCTATCGCAGCTGCCTGCCTACTCCTTTGCAACCATGTGAATCAGCTGAGAGTTGAATGTTTCACAGGTGACAGTCATCTTTATTTGCAAGCTTCAAAGTCAGAGCACAGATGATTTTTTTTTTTTTTTTTTTTTTGTAAGATAATAACAAAAGATCTCAGAAGTGGAATAGAGCATGAAAAGTCAGTCTCATCTTCAAGGTGTAAAGAGACCTTTCTAATCAAGGGGTGGACCACAGAATGAAAAATACTGCTTGTAAAAACTGTTAATGGTTTCTAGGCTGTTCTGCAGACTCTGCTACTTTCACGTAGTGGGTTTATTTGTTTAAGTTTTAGATGATGTGTGGTATTTGACAACTGCCTAAATCACCTATGCATTTTTTTTTTCCTAAATAGGATGACTTTGATTTTTTAAATTTCTAACATGATTGCAAATTCAGTTTGCTTCAAGGAACCATTGTTCATAAAGTTCCTGCACATTATTTCATATCTATTGAAGGAAAAGGTAAGAAAATGGGGTCAAAGTAATTATAATATACAGAATTTATGTATTTAATAACTTCTTTAAGAGATCTATCAGTGTGGAAATGAATGACAACTTCTATGAAACACTGTTCCTCTGAAATTAGGATAACTTCTAAAGCAGTAACTAGATAATTGCTTTGTTGAGATTTACTTCTTTTCTCTGTAGTAATGCAGTCAGAGGATACCTGGAAAGACTTGACATGCTACCTAGATATTCCAAGGAGACCAAGTTTCACATAAGGCTGTGAAAAATATCAGAAGGAAGAACTTCCTTCTCCCATTAGAATTTAATCAAATTTTCAGAACATTTGATGCCCTTTCCTTGAGTTATATCTTTCAAAAATCATTTGTACTTGGTCTTGCTCTTTCTAGTTCCAAATCAACATAGAGACCTTGATGGTTGGAATGGGTACAAATCAGGTTTCCTTATGAACTCATTTGGAAATTATGTGACTGGAGAAGGAAAAATCACTGCATGAAGATAAGTTGGCATTCCCAAGTGGTAGACTTTTGGTCTCCAAACACTGCAGGTACCCAAGAATGTAGATTGACCAACTACTAAGAAGCTTGGAGATTTGTTTTAATATTTTTTTCTTCCTTCCTTCTATGTTTTCTTTCCTCATCACCAGGTTGCTGGAAACAGGAATATTCATCTACATTCAAACTTGTTTGATTTTTGAATGCTGTTTAATTTCATTTTCTTTTCTCCCTTTTTCTTATGAATGTCTACATCCATGTTCTAATTGCTGCTGTCTCTTGCTTTTGAAAAGGTATTTCTTTTCTCATGGAATTAGTATCTAGCTCTTTGTTTGCCTGAAAGAAAACGAATTGTGAATCTATTCCTATTCATCCAAATTGTATTTGGATGCCAGCATGTAAAATGTTTGAAAACTTCTGAAATTTAGAAACCAGTAGGCTTAGTTTGAATATGCTGCACACATAAAACAAAAAGCATATTTAATTCCTCTTCCTGTTTTCTTGAAGTCAATAGCAGATCTCAAGAGGAGCAGGAACAAGAATTTAAATGCAATAATTTGGGGCTGTATGTTATAATAGTCTATAGAAGAGGTGACAGGACTCATGGAATCATTGCTCAGCTTGACTTTCCAATGAGAAAATACTTCAAAAAAGCTGTTGCAAGTCTGAAGTAATTATGAGTTTTGTATATGTGGATTTTTATTTTTTATTTTTTTAAATAAAAAAAAAAAAGATCCTCGTGATTAAACTTGGTCTATCAGTGCATTATTGCATCTCCTGGCACCAGTGAGCAAATAGGCTGACACAGCACAGCTACCTGGTGACCTCCTAGCAATGGCTGATTGACTTTGCAAGGATGTTTCATTTCAGAAAGACTTGCAATTTCCTGAAATGACTTCAAAGAATCACATCATCTTATTTCATATTCACATTTGCTTGTATCAGTTATTTTTGAGGTAGAAGGCTGTGGGCTACAGGGGAAGGGGGGGAGGGGGAGGTGTGCACGTGAAATTATTTCATATAAATAAGTTGGATGTGTTTCATAAAAAGCAATGTTCTGATCCTGTTACTATGTCTGTCTACTCACCTATATTGAAAAAGGATTGCATTGTACTAGGGTAACATAGATTACCTAAAATCCTAAACACGTTATTTCTACTGCTGTGAAGAAGTATCTTTATAGCTCACTTTATGCCTATTGTTAAGAAATAGCACAACAAAGAGAGAGAATCAAAATGACAAAGATGTGGATGTTCAGAAGACAAATGATTGCAGGTGTTAGAGGGAGTTGTCCACCCACAGGCTCAGCAGGTTCTGGAGCGATCACTTAGGAAATGGGGTATTTCTGGTACACAATCTGCAGATACGTGGCTTGGTTAGTTTCATTAGAAACCTATTCAGAAAGAAAAGTAAAAGGACTTCACTGAACTCCAGCCTGTTATAATCTATGAAATACGTGGAGTTTTCCAAATCATGACTAACAGAATATACTTCTTCCAGGGAATACATTATACAAGACCATAAAAACACTGTATAATTAATCTCCAGTGGGCTTTGGCACAGGGATGGCTAGTTCATGTCACAGTTGCCTCTAAGTCAGAGCTTCCAGAGGGCAATCTGAGACACAAGTAAATGCAAGCGTGGTCATCTTTATATGGCAAATTCTGCTGTTTGTTTTCTGTTCATTCCATTGATTCTAACTCATTTTTAAGTTGTGGTTTTCTCCCTTCTGTGGCTATGAACTCAAAGGTCAGTTTGATTAAGTTGAACTGAAAGAATGCTGTTTGAGGGGATATGAGACACAAATGGAAGTTCTCTGGCTCCTTTTACCCTAGAGGGTGATCAGCTCTGTTTTTCCTTAGTACTGCTGTAAGTGTAATTCTGGGATAATTTAGCTAGCTTGCATACATTGGGTAGAAAAGAGCGTGAGAGACCATGGCTGAGAAAGGACTTTTTTCCTGCCCCTAATGACTCTTGGTACCTGAAGCATCCCTGGGGATGTTTTCATGTGTTCATCTCTACAGGCAGTGAATCTTCTTACTGATCTGTCTTTCTGTGGGTGACAAGTGAACTGCCAAACTGTAAGTGCATTTTCTAGTTAGATGAACCTGTCGTCTGACTAGAATTCCTGTTGGATTTGGTCACTCAACCTGAATTTCTGGGCTGAAATAATAGCTATAATATAGCTATGAAATATGGTCAGACCTCTTCAGTTTCTGTAGATGTGAGTGATGTTGATAGCCTGGACATTGCTTCTTGCTGCAGAAATTCTAAAAGGTTGAGAAGTACAGTTCCTTCCTTCACTTGTGGTACTTGCCATTCCTTGATGCTGTATCCTACGTAATATGCAAAGCGATTGTTATTTGCAAATCTGACAGTAGATGGGTTCCACGCAATCACAGTAGTAAGGATGTAGTGGTATCCATGTAGATGAGGGTGGCACACTGACAAAGTGGTGTAGCAGAACAGCTGCAGAAATGAAGATGCAATGGCTTGCACTGAGGAAGGAGTAAGAATTGTTGCTCAGAAAGAAAAGGCAGGTAAAATGAATCTGTAGTATGACTGCTTTGAGAAAGGGTGTTTAAGAAGTTTCAAGATGAAAGGGAAATTTGTGTATTGGGTGACAGCAGCTGTGAATTTTACTTTCACCAAGTCCTAGTATGTAAGAGTGGAGATAAGTATTGCTTACCCTAACCAGGGACTTATTGGACTGTGCACTTAGTCACATGGTCTGAACTTGGGTAGACCTGTGCGGTGTCAAGAGTTGGACTTGATGATCCTTAAGGGTCCCTTCCAACTCAGGATATTCTATGATTCTATGATTCTATGACTTCGTAGCAAGAGAAGCGATTTAGTTTGAATAAGATAAAATAATGCTTAGCTTTTCTATAGCAGCTTTTGCTAAAATCTCTTAGAATGCATTGCAGTTGGGGTCCAAAGACAGGTGAAATGATCTGTCTATCTAATCATTACCACCAATTAATATCAGTGTTCCAGCTTGCTTCTGTGGCTGAA